AGTGGCTATGTGCCTTACATATAATAATATATGGGTGTATAGAGCTTACGTGGTACGCGATCAGAATGTAAAGCCGTTTGTAATAATATCCAATTTGAAAGGGTTTTAGTTCCAATTTGATCTGAAAGCGATTTTGAACGACTCCAAATGACGGATGACATTTTATCGGACAATTTGTCCAATCGTATTGCACTTGATACTGCCCAGGCATTTTGGAATTGTTTATAAGGTTTACGGACTTGACTGTTGGTCCATCTCCTCCCGATTGACACATGAACACTTTGGTTGGTGAAACTTTCACCGATGGTCCTTTAAGTGATTGGAAAATACAAATTTCATATTGTGTACTAATTTAATAATATATTTTATTGAAACATTGGTAAGAGGTTCCTACGACCCTACTATACTATACGTACGCTTTGTATGCCGTAGTATTATTACAATAATAAATTAAATAATGAGTTWACAATACAGCTTTAAATATTATAATATACTCGACCAAAATAGTGATATGTTATATGATATATTCACTTATTTCACAATATTGTTTACGAAACCCTGTGGCATTTGCGTTATTATATTGTATTTAGTATCATAAATACTATAATAACAAATAATAATACTACAAATACTTGTATTTATACTATTTATAGTCAATGTGGTATACGCACCTACAATTAAGTATTCAGTTCGTTATAATTTATGAATACAGTTAAATATTTAATATTTAGCGTGACTATAACTACAGCACTTACCGTAACAAGATCCTTTTACGCAAACTGTGACGTTTTGTACTATCTCATCGACAGCACTGTGTTCACTCTGCAGTGATTCACACTCGGCAAATTCATCATTAGTTGTTTTATCTTGATCGTTTATCGAAAATAGTGTAAAGTACTCTAACGTATTTTGTATGAGTTCAGATTTTGGAGAAAATATAACGGTAAAAGTCGCTTTTTTGTTTGGAAATATTGGTGGAGTTATTGATGGCTCAAATTCKATGGAATCGGCCAAGTACATAGATTCATTGTTATTTTTTACTTTAAATTTTGTGACTTTCTAAAAAATAAACAATAACAGTAATAATAAAACGTAAATTATTTATTTTTGGTGTTATCGTTTTGGTATTTAAGTAGGTACATACGTACCTATCAACAAATACATTTTGCATAAATTATAGGCTCCTATAATATAAGAATATGTACCTATTACAGGTATTATAAACAAAGCAACAAACTAACATAACAAAACATTTAATTAAAAACAAACACACTTATTTTTAATGTTTAAAAGTTATTATATAGGTATAAATAGATTGGTTCTTTTATTAGTTTATGTCAACAAACTCTACATTTTATCCAACTTGAATTTAGACAAAATTTTGTGCAAAATCATTGAATAAATTATAAATAGTGAAAATATAATGGTATATTGTACCATAATATATTTTATATTTACTTAATAAATGAGTAAATACTCTGAAATGTTTTAAGATATTTAGAGAAAAATCAATTCAAATACAATATTGTAGTGTGCCTTCAAAATATATTATTAACTAAATTGGTTATCAACAATATTTTATCAAGCATAATTAATCAGTTTAATCATTTAAGAGTTTTACTACGTAGGCACTTTATATCACTTTTTGTTTCTATGTTATTTTTTTGAATTTAAGTTTCTAAAAATAGAAAACACTACTTCCATTTCAGATTGTTCATGATTTTGATTTGGAAAATAAGTAAAAACTAAAATAATTATCTACAATAGATTACTTTCAAAAGTATTAAGTACTTACGTAGTTGTGTATGCGATATGTAATAAAAAAGGCTGCAAAAAAAAATTATTTTAAATGAAGTGAGGAAATTTATTTTTTGACCCAATGCTATCACTTATCAGTTATCACCTATTTACATGTAAAATACTGTAGTACCCAAGGCCGTACTTAGAATAAATTTCAAGGGGAGTGGAGGTTATACAAATCTTAGTAAGTGGTGAAAACAAAAATGATGTTAAATTTCTAAGCTTGGGTACCTAATGCGAGAAAATTCGGGGGGGGGGGTACCCCGAACATTGCGTATACCCACGAATATTTTTAGCAATACATCACTGGGTGTATAATAATATATATGAACATAGTAGTTTTTAAAAATAACTAAAAAACAGAAAGTATGAACTTGCTTTTAAGTCGTTGGTTATATCGATTAATCTTTTACGAACGGATCCAACTGGGATGGCACCAAAGTCAATATTTATGAAATATTTGTTTGTGTTATCTGTGGTTGTTTCAGATACAGAGCGCATAATGATTTATGTTGTACCGTGTTTATTATACTTATAATATACAATTAAAGCCTCATTACACCAGAAAACAATAAATTAATATTTTATATTATTATTGCGAAATATGCACTATACTGATTAAATTTAGAATAAACAATCTATGAATCGTCATAGAGATTATCATAATTATAAATATAGAATTCAAAATAATGTGCGTTTGAAATAGTGAGTTTTGTTGATTTATGATTATATTTTTTTCTAATAATTAGTTGACGAGAAAACTACTTAAAGTGCAGCTTTTACGATTTATATTTTTTTATTATTGAGTATTTACATTATTAGTTATTCAATATTATTTATATTATATACGAATTATTATGCCAATTATGGGATATACTTATTTAATGTACAAATAAAAAAAAGGTATTTTAATATGTTTGTTGGCTCACGCTCATAGTAAGGGCGAAGTAAAATATTTTTATTCGAGGTATCGAATTGAAATAACACATAAAAAAATAATATTTTTTTTTTTTCAAAATATACGTAATTTAAAAACGGTTTAATTTTAATATCACTAAAGCAGTTAAACCTTATTGTGTTGTTTAATCCTTCGAATCAAGTCCTAAATCCTAATTACACATCTACACCTGCACACCGCTGCACATTTTGAGAATAAATAGGTATGTAATAACGAAAAAATATACACAGATTTTGTTGTACGTGTGGATAAATGTTATTTTTACATCTTAATCGTTTTATAATTACATAAATCTGTTTTTAAGTCTTAATATTTTGATTTTTTCCATGCCCATGCACGGGAAATAAGTACCTACATACCTGGCTATCTGCATAGTACTTATAGCTTTAGGTATAAAGTATTACGAAAATATTTTGATGACGTAATCATTTTAATTTCAGATTAACCACAGCGAACCGGTTTGTCAGTGGATCCCCTCCAGCTTACTGTGTACCTAGTGAATTACGTGTTCACTGCTGTCCACTGGTACTTACTAGTTACTACCACATTACTATATAACTAGTGAAGTATATAGTAACTACTATTTACTATTATTTATAYTATTTACTACTATAGTAGATATTATAATAATTAGTTTCCATTCGCTCCGAAAGTAAGTATTTTCGACGTCGTGTTTTGTGACGACATTATATTAARGAAAACACTAAATTTAAAACTTTGTTTGATATTTTTATCGTTGAATCAAAAAAATCTACTGATTGACTATACAGAGATGAGTGGCCGCGCATTACATTTCGTGTTCAAAATAGCCGAGAGAACGAAAACCATTAAGTTTTTTAGAGAACTTTTGGGAATGAAAGTAATTATCTTTAAAAAAAAATACATAAATGACTTCAATGATTATTATTTTATTTTTTTTCCAAAGATATTGAGGCACGAAGAATTCACTCAAGGCTGTGAGGCAGCGTGYAATGGGTAGATATATTTTTTAGTTAGAGTATATTACACATATAAGATGTTCATTGTTCAGTCAAAAATTATTTGTTATGCAATCGATTACTTACATAATTCCTATCAATTCAATCCTTGTAGACCATATGACAACCGATGGAGTAAAACTATGATCGGATATGGACCAGAAGACACTCATTTTGTAATTGAACTTACCTACAACTATGGTGTTGATGATTACAAACTTGGAAATGATTTCCTTGGAATAACATTAAAATCTTCAAAAGTRTTAGAAAATGCTAAATCGCTTGGTTGGCCTGTTGAAGTTGAGGACAACACGTCTTACGTTGTGGCACCTGGAGGATATAAATTTTATGTGATTGATGAACCTCAACCTGTTGATAAAGGTATGCATATTAAACATTTTTAAGATTTAACTTTGTAGATACTATTAAAAATACTTAAAATATAGTAATATTATTGTTTTAGATACAATAGATATCATTTATAAATACTAGATATTTAATAGATGTATGTAATAACATAAAAACTTTAAATACTTCTATAATTGCATTCTTAATAATTTGATAATATTTTAAAATTTAAATCATYAAATCATTAATTAGAAACCGTAAGAAACCTACATTGTTACATTCAAATAATTTAAACACAGCTAAATTATGTAACTATTAAGTGTGTACACTGTACATTTTAATAATCACAGTTTTATGTGTTTCAAACTTTCAAATAATTTATAGCTGTGGTACTTATAAAACATAAAAGTGTGTTTGTACTTCCAAGAATATTTTTATTGTTTTTAATACCTGAACAGCTTGACTTAAAATCGTAGACATATTAATAATATGTCTAATATGTCTATGCTGCTTAAAACTTTTCATTTTTGTTTAATTTTTTAATTTTTTCATCATCTTGTGTTATGGATTTTTTTTACCAATTATTTACATCTTTTGTTTATTTTAATATCTGGCTGTCCATTGCGYTTTAATTGACATTCTACTGCATTATTATTGAAAAATAAATTAATTAGTCTTCCAATAACTGCTACAAAACAACTATTAATGTTTTAACAGTACAATTATTAATAAAGTAAATTATTATTTTATTAATTTTTTAAAAGTAATGTAGTAGTAGTAATTATCATTAAATTTGTGCTTTAAAATTGTATTTTTAATTATACTAATACATCATTCTAATTATACACTTAAATCTTTATGAWGAACAGATGTTTTCCTTCATCTTGAAGATAATTATTATAAAAATAACAATATTAGTGTTTAAAATAAGCGGCTTGGTAAATTATTCATTGTATTGTATTTTATGTTTGATAGAACTAATTTTAATATTATAATTTGGGCACTTTTTAATATTATATTAATAATCAAATTGTATTTTTCTAGATCCTGTTATAAATGTTATGCTATCATCTACAAATTTGACAAGATCTATGAAATTTTGGAACGGCATACTTGGCTTAAAAATTTTCAATCAAAATGAATCTGTAATAGAATTAGGATTTGCCGATGATCAAGCTAAGCTGAAATTAAGAGATATTGGTAATTTTTAAATATGTTTTTTTTT